GGTGTTCATTAATATACTGCCAGAAGCCGTTTGTCTTATCTCAGCGACGTTATGCAAACGGAATATAGTCTAATATGTACTGGAGCTTACAGTTCAAAAACTAATTCCACTACGAGCTAGATTGAAGAAAACTAAAGCAATAAGGAAACAGCTCTTCGAAGGCAACCTTAAGAGATGATGCTTGAATACAATTAGCAGCATATTGAGGGTCCACATCAGTCTCTCTCTCTCTCCCTCTCTCTTTTTCTCTGTGTTTTTCTCACTAAAACAACATACGATTTGTGCGAGTATGCGGCTAGCTTTTCCCACTTTACATGCTCTTCGTTATTTGACAAATTTTCTCTCGTGCAGGTGGAAATTTCTGCAGCTGCACTTAGTTTACCTTTCGCAAACATTTTGCAATAACAAACATTAGCTTAAAGGCTATCTTTTTCTATTATTCGAAGTGTGGCTGTTTAATATCAATTCTCTAACGGGTTATGTTGAACTTATGGTAATAATTGTGCGATCCACTTGAATTTAAGTGGCTAAATGGCTGACTCAAGCCCAGTTTTAGCATTTGGGGCCGCAACATGGGCCGCAACAAGGACCACAACAAGGACCGCAACAAGGACCGCAGCACGAGCCGCAACAGGGTCCACAGCACGGACAGCAGCAGGGCCCGCAACATGGTCCACAGCAAGGTCCACACTTTCCACAGCAAGGTCCACAGCATGGACTGCAGCAGGGGCTGCAGCATGACCCACAGCAACTGCCACAGCTATTGCCGCAGCCTCCGCATGGACCACAGCAGGGTCCACAGCACGGGCCGCAGCAGGGTCCGCAACAACAGGGTCCACAACAAGGTCCACAACAGCACGGTCCGCAGCAAGGTCCACAGCAAGGGCTGCACATCTTCAATTCGCTAACTAAAACCAAAAGTGATTCATTGAATACCCTTTGCTAAATGCATTCTGCATGCTCACCTTCAACCCGTCAGAGAATTGAATATTGTTTTCGAATTTCGTGTCTTTATGTATACAAATTTCTACACTATGAATGAGCACTGTCACCTTAACGTATACTAAAAAGTTAATTTGATATTTATTTTCATCAAGAAACGTTTTATGTTTCGAAAAAATATATAATTTTACAATTAATTTGTAAGGAATTTCAGTATCTATTTGCATACTGAACACTGAATTACAAATGCCAGCAGGAAGCGAGGCAGACCTCAAGACGGTGAACTGGCTCGATCAAGCTTTGTTCTTCTGTTCGTCAGTCTGTCCGTCTATCTGCCTTCATTCCCTCCGTCCGTAAGCCAGAAAAGCTTGAGACTAATGCTATACGCCGTCCGATAACTTTTTCGATAGCTCATCCTCTTTCCTTAATATCGATCTAAATCGATACATTGATTAGTTTTATTGCGCATTATTTGATAGCCACAGCAGCTGGAGATTTTATTACTTGGATTCCTATGATGAATACTCAGATTTTGAACATATTGGACTTTGGATACCTCTTTCCTTATGTGTATTTGTTTGCGAACAACGTATTTCATATACTAAACACTTAAGCAAGTCGCCACATCTAGATGTCATTATGAATGAATGGAAGTCTAGAACAATAGTTATTAAACAAAAGTTATTAAACTACATAGTAAAATCCATAAGCGCAGTCGCTCCGTTAACTGCGAAGTAAGCAGAGCGTGTGCGTGAGTATGCATGTGTTGCTTGCTGTGAATGACTAAAAGGAATATCAGCGCTGCCCATTGTTTAGGGTAGCTGCTTGTAATACTAAAATTTCTATTGTCTTCCTATCTTGTTCTGTTTTACTTAGTTCACATATCCTCAATTTCAATTGTCATATATTCCCAAATCTCAAGACTGTTCGTCCCTTAAAGAATCGACAGCTGTGCTGTGGAAACTACCAGCAGCTGATTTTCCGGAAAACCTAAGCAAAGCCTCTGAAAATTGTTTGGGTGCAAGCTGGCCCAAGGGCAGGTCGAAAATTGTGTTGTACTTTGACAAATCACACGCTGCTCCTGTCGCTCAACCGAATAGCGACAGCCCGTATTGATGCCACGCGTTCACCTAAATCCGCCTCTAGTCAGCCCCACCTCGCCCTACACTTCTATGGGCGAATTCTCCAGCTTTTGTCAATGACAATTGAATGGCTTTGATCTTTTCAACGCGCCTTCAATTTTGCCGTGTCGATTGCAGCGACTCCCAAATGTGGGCGTACGTGTATGTGTGTTTCCCATGGGGTGTATGTTTGTGTGTGTGTGAGTGCCATGCAGGCACTCGTGCGTCTATTTGTCAACGCCGCAAAGGCGATAGTCGGGACTCACCGATACAGCATTGGCACTGGCAATGGCATTGGATGCATGAAACCTTTTGTCAATTACGGCGAACGCCAACTCTGCTTCTACTTTTTGTGCCACAGTCACATGCCACACACACAGACACACACACACAAATACACACATGCATTCACGCATACGTAGGGCTGCACACTCTGCCACTGACAGGCATAAAATAGGTAAAAATGGAATGATTGCTGATTTCTGGTACAGACGAGTGCCTCGGGCAGGTCTCCCATTCTGGCTGACTGAGAGTCGTGTATGAGCAAAACATATCCGCCACATTGAACACCCTGCCATCCGCTCCTATGCCTGCACTTAAATTGACTGACGTCAAGCGTCACCGTCGCCCATCAAAAGGGACACAGCAATTAAATTGACGTACGAGTTGTCAAACTCAAATTCATTCGCCTTTTTAATTGGGGCACAAACTCGGATCAAATCATTTGTCCGCGTGCCCCAAACGTATGCCTCTTAGCCGATTTTGCATATTGTTTTCAATTTTTGTTTTTATTTTCTGTTTTGCTTGCTTGAACATTTTTGAACAATTTTTTTGTTTAGAAGAGAATAGGGATATTACAAAAAATAAAATAAAAAAAAATATATGCAAAAAGTACTATAAGAAAAAAAAGTTAATTCAAAAAAAAAATATAAAAATAATTTTAATATGAAAAATAGATAAGTTTAAATACTAAAATAAAAATATATAAATAGTTTTTTATTATATTATTTATTTTTAATCTTTTATTTACACATATTTCCATATTTAAGTTTAATCCCACACAAAATAAAATATTTCTATCTATTTTTATACTTTTTTATATTAACGTTTTTATTTGAATAGAATTGTCTTATTTATATTTATATCATTGAAATAAATATTTATTTTGTAAATCTATTTCTAGACATATTTTTATTTTCAATTAAGTTTAATTCCTGCCTCAGTGCACAGCTCGAAACATGTAATCAAAGAAGCTAAAAAGAAAATACCCCAAACTGATAGAAAATCATATTTTTTTTGCCCCTTTTGGCGATATTTTTCCAAAAATTTCCAACTGGCTGCGCATCGGGGTCAGGGCAAAAGCAGATTCCAATTTCAATTGCAGAATCGATTAAGCGATACGCAAATTTATAAACAACGCGAATAACTGAAACTGTCAGCGGCAGGCGGCAGAAGCGTCAAAGTCAAAACGGAATTGTCCCAATGGGAGGCCGCGTTGTATTACCAAGAAATTAATTTATGCCGTAAAGTGGCTCTGCGTACGTCAAAGCTAAAGTCAAATACAGCACGAGGCGAACTGTGGACGTAGCTAAACATTTCATTTGGAGCAACTGCTAGTTAATTGGCGATTCAACCAATAACATGCGTAGCTCTGTACCCTGAGCCCTGAACCCAGTCCAATCCAAGCATCAGGACAGGGCCCACTGAGTGTGGTTGAGTGCGTATTGCCAAATCATCGTCTGTGGCGATGCTGCAAACAACAATCAATTTTAATGAACGCCATTCATTAAAAAACTTTGCAGCACAAAAATCACCAGCGTAGTGGGTGGTTGCCGCTGCTGCTACTGCTGCTGCTGAGTGGTGACGACGCGTGGAAGCCACTTAAACGGCGTTGATTAATTCGAAACCAAAAACTGACAGTCGCCACCAAACAATAGCACAAGCACGCCATCTCGCGTCACCTGCAGTCGCTAGCTGTGTATGTGTTTGCGTCAGTGTCTGTGTATGTGTGATTTTGAAGGTGTGGCAAGTCCTCATGTCTGCCTTGCTGACTTGGCGGTTTTGCTAGGTGACGCGCTGCGGGCTCTCTGTGAATAAGCGTCATGCGCATATTTGCCACATCGTCAATTAATGTTCTTCTTCTTGTTGTTGTTGTTGTTGACATTGTTGTTAGTGTTGTTGTTGCTGTTGCTGCCAGTGGCATTGAGGTTTTAATAAAGCAGTGAACGCAGTTTGTCAATTTCGACTGGCGCATAAAACGGGGCGCAAAATTATGTATTCATTTATGTCAAAAATATTGACTAGGATAGAAGCAATATCTTTTACTAATTGCATTGATTTATTGAGGATATAGCAGAGTTATATATATGAGTTAATGGAGTTTATTTAAGATTTAAACGTGAAGTTCGTTTGCTGATAAACGTATATTTATTAGTAATTATAGTCAAATAGAAAGAGCCCTGCAAATGGTATACTCTTTCCTGTAGAGGCCAAAATAAGTAGTTATCAAATTTATGATGAATTTTCAGTACTTTATTTTGCCATTCAAGAGAACCTCAAGAATTTCGGCTCCAGTATCCATATCTTTCTATGCTATTATGGGCGCAAAGTCTTTCTCAGTATTTATTACACATAGAATATCAAATATTCCGAAATCTGCGTTAAAGCAATTGAGCAGCTGTGGCAAATCGTTGTTAAGCTATTTTCATGCAACTTTAATGTAGCACGAACCAACATCCAATAATACAACTCCACCCACGGCTCACCTGCTCCACGCACATGCTGTTAATCACACACCTATTGATACGCTTATCTCACGTGTGCTCTGTACGTGACAAAGGCTCCGCCCGAATCGTAGCTCAAATTGCCATTTCGATTAACAAGAATACAACTTTTATAAATATATTTTTTCTCGGTTCTGTCCCAAATCAATTTCAGCATCGCATCCACAGACGAAAGCAGCGGCTACTGCTCCACCCGCAGTCACAGCCGGCTTCGATGAGCGGGTCGTGGAGGCATCCTCGTCAGCGGCTCTTGCCTTTCCGGCGGCTCAAGTGTCATCCTTGCTGCCAGAGGTGAGCGCCTTGTCGGCCACTGCTGTCCTGGTGGAGCCCTATCTGGATGGCTATGCCACATCGAATGTGACCACGCAGATTGGCACTCACGCCTATTTGCCCTGTCGGGTAAGTCGAGCAGCCTAATTGGTTTTACTGTTTCTATTTTAGTTTCATTCGCATTTCCATAATTTGTGGTTTGCTTTATTTGATTTTTATTATGTTTTGTATATTTTTTCTTGGATTGCGTGCTGGAGTGCTGCGTGCATGTTTTTATTTGTAATTATCAGTGTGGCCCGCCGCCAACAGCCGCCCTCAGTTTGGCCATTAACATCTCGTCCATAGGAAACACATTAAATTTTATTGCGTAAATATTTACCGAACGACTCGAGGCATTCGGCCATGAGGTGTGACCGCGTCGTGTATTTAACACAAAGCTGAAAAACAATGCCACCAATTTATGCCGACGGGCACGTGAAGGGCCGCCAGGGGCGGGTTCTCAGTGTTTGCGCAGGTGTTTAAAGGTCAACGCTGGCCCACAGGCAGCCAAACATGCAAATTGTTTGCTTAGAAGTTGTAAATATTGTATTGCGGCCACCGACAAGCCGACGAAACCGTAAGCCCAAATTAAATTTACACAAATTAGTTTTATGGCACTACGTGCTTTGTCCAAATTCAGCAAATGATATAATGTCCCAGTGGACCGGAGGCCAGCATTCATCTGAGCTGCAATCGAACTGAAGTCAACTGAAAAAACATTTGCCTTAATTAAAAACTAAATTCCGCTTTCAGCGAACAATTGATTACTTGAAGATTTGTTCTTTTAATACTTAAGAACTGTAGTATCAGTAGCACAAACTGTATTAGTTCTAATAGTCTAATAGTTCTAGTCTAGCTATATGTGATAAAGCAGTCCAATCTACTCAAACACAATCTATAGCAAGTCTTCTCAGCTGTCTAATCGGAACTCTTTATAGTGTGCCACTCATAGAAACTTTGAATTTATATTAAGAGAGCCATAGATATTTATTTGACACTCTCCTTAAGTAAAGCGATTCATTGAATCGAACATCATCATGCTTTTCAGATGCTAAATGTGCCTTGATATCCTAAATATCTTCCACGGGCTGTGCCCCTTTTAACAAATTATAATTATCACGCCCAGTCGCATTTATGTCACGAACAAGGCCATTAATTTTTGCCATTCTGGTGTCCGGAGTGCGTCCTGTCTCCGGAGTAGCCAGCGTAATTGGCCGTCAGGTCAAAGGCAAAACGATATTCAAATTCTTGTGCGGCTAGCACAGAAAATGTGGCCTTGGCCATTAATCGTGTGCCAAGCAGCTGCTGGCACTTCAAACTGAGGCATATATTTAATGTACGGCTGAAGAGCATCTTGTGCTGTAGAATTTAACAAAAAGAAGTTTTTAATTATTCGTTGTCTTGGTCAATTAAGTGCCAGCACGCCGAAGGCAGCTGCCACATGCCCCCAATCCCATAGACCTTTCAATTTGAAAGGAAGAATGAAAAGCTCGTATCTCAATGTTTGTCAATTATGGGCACTCGCATTCGCTTCACACTCGATGTCCCACGTTGTGGAGTGCGTTGCATGCGGCTCTTTGTTCAGCTGCCGCATTAAGTGGCACAGTTGAGCGAGCTTATGCCTCCTGCCGACACAACAAGACGAGCCAGCAAGCTAACAAGGCACAGGCTGACCGAGCTCCTTTCAAATTTGTGCTCCCTTCTGCCGATGTCAGCTGAAGGATGATGAGTGCAGGCTTTGACTACGTTCAGGTAGCAATTGGGTTATTTAAAGTATTCCAAGCATCAGCTTATTGTATTGCCACCCCCTTGCTCAAAGTGTAGCTTTATACTCGTTGAACTTCCCAGCTGGGAGACAACGCTTTCGAGAAGATGAGGTACGAATCGAATGCAACATGAATTTAATTAGACAATATTTGCACCATAATTAAATCTGGTAGCTAGTGCCCAAATAAGTCCATTACAGTCAAATTACCGGCCAGATTGTTGTAATGGCATCTCGGCCTGTTCGCATATTCAATGCCAAAGTGTTGAATGCACAAAATAATTTCCATGTAAATTCCAAATCCAAATTTAGTCGCAAATGTGTGCGTATGTGTGTGCGACTACGTGTGTGTGCTCTAAATGCATTTTAGATTTACCAAATGCGACACATTTCGATAATATCTGAGGGGCAGAGTGCTAGTTCCGTCTGTGCTGCCTGCTTGATAAGTTTCATGGACATTTGAGTATTTAATTACATTTCAATGTTGTTCCAGTGGCTGTGCTTTGTTTGCTAAGCCTCGCATACACTTTGGCGCATTAATTTACTCTCGGTGTGTCCTGCTGTGGCTTGATCAATTACTACCCAGACAGATTCTATACAAAACCCCAACCTCCAAACTTAATGTTTGATTCTTTAATTACTGTCAGTTGTGCTTTGGGTCTGTGACAAGTAATTAGATCTGCCTCGGGAACTTTCTTTGAATTGGCAATATTTGAAGTCAAATGTATTGACCCTTTCATGCAGTTGGTTCCTAAAAGTATGCTATATAATTATGAAATATTCAATAAAATGCACATTAAATATAATAAATGAATAGCAATGAATTATCAGGAAAAAGCTAAAACTCTAAATTATTTTTAAACCACTTAAACTCAAGCTCATATTTTCAGTTTATTAAGATTTTTACATTATTTTAAATATAATTGACAGCTTCAATTGATTCTGACGCCTTTTGATGAATGCCTTTTATTTCTTTCACACAGGTTAAGCAGCTTGGCAACAAATCAGTATCCTGGATTCGTCTACGTGATGGCCACATACTCACGGTCGACAGGTAATTAACGAAGGGTAGGCCAAGTAGAGAAACGTTTGTCAGTTTCAGACTCCACAATAAGATTCGAAATGCTTTCACTGAGTCTCAGCTATTTAATTACCAAATTTTCTTATGCGTGTGCCATATAAATGCGCTATCAAAATGATTATTTGCTGACATTGACACCCAAAAGGCGATATTTATATATGCATTAGCTCTGATATTCATTACAAAAAGTCATTTGCAATTCAATCGGCTTATGAATATATTAAGTCAGTTCAAGTCAAGGTATTGGCAGCACTCATAATTATTACTGCATTGTTCACAGCGATTCGCTTGGGCATCTGAATACTGATGAATCTGCAATATGAGCCATTTGCTAAGTTCAAACTGTCTGTCCTTGGCAATGCCTTTCCTCTGTGTGTTAAAATATACGCAAACTCCCTATTAGGCAAGTGTGCTTGACGGAAATTATCTCAATAACATTGACGGAAATTATCTCAATAACATGTACATTTTATAAGATGAGCTAGAGATATTTTTAAAAGATTAGCATAGCAATTATACTTAAATTCAAATTCAGATTATTATTAACGGAAGCTGATTTTTAAGTTACATTTAATATTATTTAAAATGCAAAGTTGATCAGCTTGAAAAATTTAAATACTTAAATGATTCTTTACTACTCATGAAGAAAACTCTTTGGTATGATTGTACTATCGAGTAGTTTAGTAGACCTAATCTATAAAAATTTTATATAAAACTCGGAGTGTATTTAAAATGCAAAATAGACTTCAGAGACGCCATGACAAAAGTTGCTTTACTCATGCAGATGAAAGATAAAGCATTTGTATTATTTTTGTGATAGTTGAGAATACATTCGCATTAGTGAGAAACGCCGCTTGTATTTTTATAAGAGTCTTGTCGTATTTGAAGCTCTGAAATTGTCGTGATGCAAAAACAATTTGCAGTAAATTGAATGAAGTGTGCCAAGTGGCAACATGTATTTCAATTTCAATCTGTGTGTCCAATAACAAGCCAACCATTGCGTCAGGTGAGTTCTCAATGAAGCCAGTTTGGTACGAGTACGCATCCTGCACAGATCTATCTCTCTTTCTCTCTGTGTGTGTGTGTTTGAGATGCCCTTTCATGCTCTGACATGCGAAGCGGAAACACAAGTGTGTGCAATTTCATTGCATTTCTCGAAATCCAGCAAAACTTTACTTCAAAGTGTGTCTGCGTCTCCAGTAGGATTCTTTTGCTCCTTTTTTATTCTTTTTCGGACTGCCTGCTGTTTTAGTCAACGTTTGTGTGTGCTGTGTGCGGGGTGGAAACATTTCCAGCTTATTACTTTGATAGAAAAGTAAAACCAATGAACCTTTCACATTAGATAAGGCGGCTGCCTGTTTGTCTGCCAAACGGATGAATGGCTGCTCCCAAATGAATGAGTGTGTCCACACAGCAAGGATATATGAATGGGTACACTGGCAGCCAGATAGAGAGCAAGCCAGCTAGACGGACTGAAGGGTAGTTGCAGCTGCAGCTGATGCTAGGCAAACACAGGACCATTGAAATTAAGCCCAGATAGTGTCCTTACTGATTGCTTCCTGTGTACCGCCGTCTGCTTTCGCTGCACAGCCACTTCCGTCCTGGGTCGATTGTGTGCGTGTCCTTTCCTGCTCCAGTGTCTTATGTCACATTTATCTAGAAAGTTTTCTTATTCTGCTGAGCTTCGCAAGTATCGCACAGCCCACACACATAATGGAAATAGATTTCAGAAAAAAGTTTTAGCCACTGTCACGTTGCAACAACGTCCTGCTCCGTCTTGCAGCCAGGAATGTGCATTGTATAATAGCTCAAATGATGTGTTTACACTTTCATATAAATGTCACGTGCTTGGCGCCTTTTGTTTGTCCGCTGGACGCAGCCCCTTTGAATTTATAGCCATCACACAATAGATTACTTCTGTTTGCACTTGGCCCAATGTCCACACAAATACACATGTATGTATATATATATATATATATATATATATATATATATATATATATATATATATATATATATATATATATAAATATGTATATATATATATATATATATATATATACATATTCATACACATATATAACGATATATACAAGTGCGTGACGCTCGGCCTGTCCCGTCTTCTGTAGCAGTCCTGGCTTTGGGTAATTATGTTCAGGTGTTGCTTGACTACTTGTTATCTGTTATCTTCGCACCTGGGATGCATGTCATTTATTTACCTGGGGGACTACTTAATACACAATCAGCCCACAGACTGTGCAACATATGCTTGGTAATTAAGGCAAATATTTATATATGACAGATGAATGGAAATTTCTGCTGTGGATTATATCTCAAGTCAAGGCAGAGTTCACTGTACTTTGCTGGTGTTTTATTTGCTTTGATTGATATTTAATGTGTTTTATTTGATGCCTTGAAGTATTTTCTAATCATATAAAAATATTACAATAATAATAATATCAAAAGTTATACACGCAATCTCTTACTGTTATAAGTTCTTACTTACTCTTGGGTCTAGAGACTAACTAAAATCGATTTTTGTCATAAGTTGCATCTTAATATATAGCTAAAGATGCTGAAGTATCTTTTAGATAATACTATTTAGAAAGTAGTATATAATAATATTATTTAGAGGCTAAATTTTAGAGAGAAGGAGAGAGATACAACTATACAGTCAGACGGTGTTCCATAATAATGTTCCATAAATGTTCCATAGTGTTCCATAAATAAACTTACATGTTCATAGTTAACAATTAAAATGTCGAACTCATTGAAGTTGACATCTTAAATTCACTACTCAATCCATGGTCTATGTGAAATATCAGCTTTAAAGTCTGCTGCTGACATTATCTTTGAATGGCCGGTGTCTCACATCCAGCCTCTTGCTAATCCTTTGCTCTGCTCATAAAAAATGACCATTAAAAACTTTGCTATTATCCTAAAATAATAACAATATCGTTACGTTAAGCTCCTTCAACTTTTCCATATCGTTTTTGTTTTTCATTTCTAGGCAAACTTTTGGAAAAACGAAGCCCAATCTCATATACCAACATATGCTTGTAAATTTTTAGTGTTTTATTATATATATATATATTCTTTGAGTAGATCGTTTTTTTAACCCTGTTTATATATAAAAAGAAGCTTTTTTCATGAGGAAACTTTTTATAAAAGCCACATTTTTTCTGTCTCCTATTGGATCTCAACATTAACTGCGAATGAAAAACTTATGTTGTTACAGGTCACTTCCTGACACTTGGCTAAGAAAATGTCTAAAAGACCGGACAAGAGTCAAAGAAATGCAGTGAGAGGAAATGGAACGTTGTAAAAATATGGAAAATAATGTGGGGAAAGTGGCAAGCGGTGCAGGGCAAACTTAAAAACGAGATGAAAATTATAAAGTAACTACAAAATCTGGATAAGAAATACTGCTACAGTGGGAAAGCAGAGTAGTGAAGCGGCGGGCTGGACGGGGACTGGGCGCAAAGGAAATGGCAAAAGTCATAAAATGTCGAGTTTTACGAGTGCAAAACGCAAGGGTCTAATCTGGGTTTAGTATCAAAACTTGTTAGTGCAAAGGGGAAGTACCGGCTGGAACAGACAGGAGAGCGAAAGAGAGCGAGAGGAGGGATAGGAAGAGGCCAGAGCAAAGAGTTTGAAGCAGAGTGCCTAATAAGCAATGTCAACGCATGTGTGTGTTTGGGTTTGGCTGAGGGGGCGTGGCGTGCTACGAACGCTTTAGTTGCTGCACTTTCAACTGGAGACGGAAGCATTTTTGCACTTTGCACAAATGGCAAGGGAAATTTCCAAGCGAGCGCCGCACAAAAATATTGCAACAATGACATTAAATGCAACTTATTTCAGTGGACCCACTCCGCTTCCCTCTGCAGCCACCCAACCACCCGCTCATTTGCATGCTTTGCAATTGTTGTTTGCTGCACACAGTCCATACACAACATTGTTGTAGTTGCAACGGGCGACAGAGAGAGGGGAAGAGACAGAGGGAGCCGGAGTATGAGTTGGCCGCTGTTTAAATGCCGCAACTAAATAACTTTGAGTGTCTTTTGAGTGGCCATTAGCAGTGGAGCTTAGCGCGTAAGTGGGCCTGTATTTATTGTCGCTGTTGTTCTTGTTGCTGTCGTTTTTGTTTCTCTGTCACTTAAAAGTGTTGCCCATGCAACATGCATCGCAAAAGCTGTGCTTCGCATTCTGATTGTGCGCCATTTGTGTGGAAGCTGAAAGATTCATTTAAGTTCTCTCTACTATATTTTTATATTATCTTAATACAATGTCGCAGTTACGTTTAACTTTCTGATGGACTGACAAACTGTTGGATCTAAGCGCAGCCCAATTTATCATTTACCATAGACTCTATAATATTGCTTATAAATATTAATTACTTAATTAAAAAAACTGGTTTCATTGCAGAGCTGTGTTCATAGCGGATCAGCGCTTTCTCGCCCTCAAGCAGCCAGATAAATACTGGACGCTCCAAATAAAATATGTGCAGGCGCGGGATGCGGGCACCTACGAGTGCCAGGTCTCGACCGAGCCGAAAGTGAGCGCGCGCGTGCAGCTGCAAGTTGTTGGTAAGTGACGACGTCCTTGGACAAGGACATGAGCAAGAGCCTAGAACTAGTCCTTGTGCTATTGCGAGCCAGCGCATATTGAGCGCATGCAATTAAGGCATTATATGAAAGGTCAAGCAAGCATAAAGACATACACACAGATACATATATAAGCCTGCATATAGAATATAGAAGTATATAAATATATAAATGTATATATATATATATATATATATATATATATTTAAATAAACATATATATATTTATTTGTGCTGAAAAGTTTTGTGGCTGAACCTTGGCCCAGGGCCACGTTATGCACAACTGAACAGGAACAGAGCCAGACAGCCAAGAAGAGTTTCACACCGAGGGGTCAACAGAGCGGTTCGGGAGGGTCAATGGGTCACACACATGCTTGGAGATCTTTGCATCTTTCATGCGGCTGCTGCATTCGCAATTGCTCACAAAATTGCATTCAAATTGCGGTGCCCGCTGCATTTCCATTGAAAACTCTTTTTTGACCAGAGCAATTTTTGACCAAGTTTTTTAACGAGAAAACTTTTGTGAGAGCTTCACTTCTTGGGTTTGTTAAGCACACAAACACGCACACCCACATACACAAAGGCGCACTTAAGACCCAGGCTAAAAAAGTTAATTAAATTTCATGTTTGCTCACACAAAACACACAGGCACACACCCTCAGACCACACACATAAACTAACTCACAAATGACCAGTGTATATGCCTTTGGGGTTAAATAAAATTGGAATCGAGCCTGTGTATTGCTCACTTGTAATTGATAATAAATGCCTTTGCCAAAAAGGGAGTGAATGAACTCAAAAGCAGTTCGAGAACATTTTTATAATTTCTTAACCGAAATTGTATTTAGGTATACAAAACTATTATTAGTAAAATATAATTTTATCTTAACTAAAGTTTCATATGCCATTAGTTTTAGAGTATATATATTAAACACGTATTGTGTTCACTGAAAAAGATTAAGAAAATTGAAAATCTAACATGGTGATAACCAAGTTTTTGTATAATTTTTGTATAATATATATATATATATATATTTCTATTTATATATTATCGGAAAAATAGTATTTATGTTTTTAAACAAAGCCAACAAAATAATTATGCAAAAACTTGGTTATCATCCTGTTAGATTTTCATATATATATATATATATATATATATATATATATATTTTATATTTTTTAAATAGTTTTCAATTCTAAAAGCCATTTTTTTGCTATATATAGATACATAAGTAAGCTGTATATATGCATAATATATGCATAAATAAAATACAATAGTTTCAGCTGTTTAGAAAAAAAACTTAATGCAATTTCCATGCTGATAACCAAATTGAATATAATTTTATGCAAAACACTTAAACTTTTCTGTTGAGCAAGATAACGAGCAAAAACTAACCAAACCTGAGAAGCCATAGAAGGATATGGCGTGCACACAGGATGCACAGCGCAGACTCGATAATGCGCTGCTAAAAGTGATTTTCGCATTTCCGGTTGAGCTAATTTGTATGCTAAGCACTTGCCCCCAAGTGTGTTTATGTGTGTGTTTATCTATATGCATGTGTGTGTGTATAGGCCAGCGTGCCTAATAACGGGACGCTACAGTGTAACGTAACAGCAGCGTCCAACAGGTATTTCTGCGTTTAAGCAGCTCGTGCCAACTGCTCGAAAAGACTTGACGGACAACTGTGCCTCGGCGCGGTGGAGCGTGGCAGTTAAATGGAGGCAAGTAGATGCTGGTGGGGGCATGGGAGCGGTAAATTATGTATGCGCGGCCACATTTTGCGTTAATCTAACGACAAGTTGAACGCATAAAGGATTTCTATGCGTTCCACACACAATGGATCTGAGAAGCTGCGATGCTGTCTAGGGGTAGGGCAGCAGGGATAGAGAGTAGGGTAGGGATCACAGCTGCAGCCTTCTAGCCATTTTTATAGTTTGGGGCCAGAAACTGGGCAGCGGTCCATTATTTGCAGTCATTTGGCACAGCGTTCTTGGTCCGCATTGGCTTTGTCTAGCTGTTAACTTGGCTTCTCTGTTCCTCGCCCTCTTGGGCGCCCTCTCATTTTCTCTCATCAGCTATAACCATTATCGGCAGCACCTAGTTGCCTAGTTGCCCGGCTGCTCAATGCTTCCTCCTTTTTTTGGTCCAGTTTTTCTTTTTGTGGCTCTGCTTGTTTTTTGATTTTGTGCCTTGGCATGTAATTTGTATTTATTGCATCGTTTTGTCTGTGCAAACGACTAAAACTCCCTTTGCATGTTGTCGATTTGCGAACCTCTTCCGCATCCCAGCTCCCAGCTCCCAGCTCCCAGCTCCCAGCTCCCAGCTCCCTGCTGCCTGCCGCCTGCTTCGTCCTGGCTGCCTTAGCCCAATTGCCAATGTATTTTATGCTTGGCTCCGTTTGCTTTTCGCCTGATGCTTGATTTCTGAGCCCTCTTGGCCATTGGCTCGTTGGGGTAATGGGATCGTAGTTTTCGGTCAATTTGTTATGCCAATGCGTGGCTGTGTGACCGTGTGTGCGTGTGAATTTGTTTTTTCTTTTCTTGTTGGTTAAAATGTCAGTTTCTTTGGTTTCGGCTCATTTGGCTGATGTTTCAGCAGCACAATGGCCAAAAAAAGGCGCAGAGACACGATTTATTGAATCTTATGTATCTACGAAAGGTATTAAGTCTTGTAGTTTTCTCAAATTTTGACATCTGTTGAATTTAATTTTATTTTTCTACACACAAATCTTGAATCTATTTAATCTTTGTTAGGAGACCGAAAAGCTTTTGACACGCAAGATTCAATTTCGGCCCATTGTGCGTTAATTCACACACACGGACACTCGCACACACTCACGCACAGTCATTCGAAATGAATGAATTTATTTTTTTCTGCATCATTGAACGACAAACTAGATTTGGTTTTATGAGATTTGTTTTGTGCTCATCTCGCTTAGCTCGCAGCTTCTCTTCCCATTCATTTACAGAATTTGGCTCTGTTCGTCCGCTTATTTAATTTGCTGCTAATCTTGTATGTTCAAAGCCAATTCTCTGCGGGTTTGGGTGTCAACTGTTTTTCCTTTTGACGCTTTCGGTTTTTATCTCGCCATCAAAAGTGACAATTCCGCCGTAATGTTTACGGCCAGACGCAGCCTCTGCAGCCAGCCGAGCTGCACATTTCAAACTCAACTAATTTCCCTAAAAGCATTTGGCAATAAACCCAATTAATTTAAGTTGCTGTAATTCGTTTCACACTATGCCACGAATCTTCTGACTCCGCTTTGCCAATTTCTATCTTTTGTTCAGCTGAAAATTAGCTCAAATTGTGAAAGTTTTCTTTCGCCCTCTTTCTCTGTGGCTTCATGGTTTTCTCGACTCTTATCGCTTAGTTAATCCCCAATTTGAATACTTCCATAATTAACTTTACACTAAACCCATTTTTATAATGAAAGACATTTTGATAGCGGCTTATCACATAGACGGCGACGGGCTTTTATTTATTTTTATGGCATTTAAGAATAAATTTCTTAATTTCTTGTTTATTTTGGCTCTTTCTCTTTGTTAATATATTACAGGTAAGATTCCAAAAACATGTTTCATTTAAATTTTGTTTATTTTTAACTGCGCAAGCTTTATGCTGATTGATTGTTATAAACAAAATGCTTTCAACTGAACGTGGATTACGCATTGTGAATTTCGACTAAATCGTGAGTTGATTGAATTTAAAACTTAGCTGGTTTTTTACTTTAAATGGAGTATAAATAGGACTTATTTCTGCGTAGCTCTAGATACTCGACCTCTTATTCAATTCCCAAATTCATATTTCGAATTTTCAAAGCGAATCTGCACTCAATATATGCAACTGCTGCAGAGAAGTTGGTATACATTTTTTGCTCAAAAAGCTCGGCTCGGGGCTAAGGGACGGTGTCTAATAATATTGCATATCCTTTTAGCTGCGAAGCGCAGCAACAGTCAAGCAACTGGAAAACTAACATGCGCAACGCGACGATTTTGACAAGCTGACACACTTTGGTGTCAAACCAGAGACTCACACACATATACACACGCGTGCAGACAGAATGTTGTGCGAATTCTCAGCACATTCATTTTGCGCAGTTTTGTGTGTCTAACAGCAGTGTAAACCCGGCGTATACGTGATTTTGCCGAATTCGCTAGCGCACGTCGCCGTTGGCCAGTCTGTGGGCGTGGCAGGGCGGTCGCAGTCTACAAGAAACAGCTCGTGTGATGTGCAAATGTTTGTGTTTCTGTCTGTGTGTTTTGTGTGTGTAGCAATAATTTGAACGCAAGCCCAATGTATTTTTTATAGCATTGGAACTCGCTTTTTGACAGAACAGGCATAGTTTGTTATGCATGTGCGTGCCTCTCGCCCGTGTGTGTGTGCTTGGGTAGCTGATGGCATCAGTAAGTGAAAAATTGAAAAGTGAATTTGGCAGAGCGCGAGCTGCCGCCCCTTCAAACGCAAAGGTGCTCAGATTTACGTGCGCGACGTGACTGGCAGCTGTTAATTCGATAGATTAGCGCCAATGTCACAATTTCACACAGACACGCGCCGTATTTTCCATTGAGTTTCACTCATAATGAGCACCGTAATCATCTTCAACATCAACTTCGTCATCATTGTCATTGTATGCCTGATGCCGTTTGGTATTTGTTACAGTTCCTCGCACCGAAATACTCGGCGAACCGGATCGCTATGTCAAAGCTGGCAGCAATGTCGTCCTGCGCTGCATTGTGCGGGGCGCCTTGGAGCCTCCGACGTTCATCATGTGGTACCACGGAACCGAGCAGCTGGCCGCCGATTCACGGCGCCATCGCACGCAATTGGATCCCAATCTGCCAGAGGCCAGCGGCGAGGGACAGAGCACGGTGAGTTCTATCAATTGTTCCCTTGTTGATTTTAATTTAATTACACTTGATTTCAAATTGCGTTGGCTATGCCGTGTGCCGTGTTCCGTGTTCTGCCCACGTGCGCGTCCTTGTGCGTTCCACATCAGCGAAATTACAATATTACTTCATACTGCTCGCATTTATGTCATATACCAGCCACGCCCCTACGACGTCTTCAAGGCAAATGTCGTTGAATTGTTGCAAATTAGAGCTGACCTCTTAGCAAACGTGACTCGCAGACTCGTTAAATATTTAGCCAACGTGTCGCCGACGTTGCCATAAACGTTACTCAAACCTGACATTTCTATTGCGATTTATCTTCTGCTTTTACTTCAGAGAGTTCTTTCTTTGCATAAGAATATATTTATTGTATAAAATTTTGCATTTCCATTTCTCGTCCTTAAATGGCACACCCTCAGATCGGCTCATTAATCATCGAGTCGGCCAAGAAGCGCGACACTGGCAATTACACTTGTAGCCCGTCAAACAGTCCCAGTGCGACGGTAACGCTCAACATTATAAATGGTAAGTATAATATAAAATATAAAACTTTCATATATACATATATCTTAAACTATAAAATAGGCAAAGCTTTTCTATGCTAGCAGAAAGCGAACTTTTAGGGAATTTTCTATGAAGCCAAGTGATAGCTGCAATGTCTATAAGCCAAATAATACAGAGTTGGCTAATGAACGTAAATTAAAAATCAGAAAAATGTCGCAAGTTGTTAAAATCTTGCTTAGCCTTGTGAAGCTTTCGATTGTTATATTATTATACAATTGTCAAGATTTTAGGTAATAGTTTCCAAGCTGAGAAGTGAATTAAAGCTAGACTGACAGTCGAAGGCGAACAGTTAGAAGCGAAGAGAGTTGAAAAATTAGACAAGAGTGAAGATATGAGAGGAGATATTAAGACTGTTGACTCTGCACTTATTTTTAACGATCCACATGGAATGTGAATCATATATGTCATATATTATAACTAATGCTCCATTCTGATTTCACTTTCTAGGAGAATCTTCGGCCTCTGCTGTGACGTCATCGGCACCCATCACACGTGCATACACACTGTGCATTCTGGTTTTGCTACTGAGTGTTATCCTGATTGGCGTGGCCCAACGGACATGACAGGTCGAGGGTGCCGGCAAGAAGCAGCTGAATTAATTCAAAAAGAAAACTATGTGCAAATGCTAATTAGCAGTCGAAGCAAACATAAATACAAACGAAGCCAACAAGCGTTTATAAGAAAATATAATACAGAAGCGAAATCGAAAAAAAATATGCCAGAAATATAAAAAGTAATCGAGTGCATATTGTAATCTAGTTGATTTTATCTGCTAACTCTATATAAGTAAAATGCCCATAAAAGAAAGTCTAAACAAAAGTTATCGACAGGCAGTAATGGTAAAAGAATGCAACTAAATTGTAAGTACTACAAGCTCTAAGCAACTAGTCCTAAACTCTGAGCGTATGTATACACACACACATGCATAATATATACACATATGTGTGTGCTTATATACAGATATAAATGTATTTATATATATGCATATACATATATATATATATATATATATATATATATATACATAAATGCATTTATACACTTAACTGATTTGGCATTTGGTAGTAGTCTCTGTCTGTGTGTGTGTGTTTGCATAAATGCATAAACATAAATATTTATGCAACATCAAATGAAATTTCAAGGATGTTCTTATCAGCCGAAGCATAGCTATTTGGACAAACGGAAGGACAGCAAGTCCAGGCCCCAATTGAAATAAAAATAATATTTGATATTTTGCAATAAAACGCATTCAGTTGGGCAACTGATATGCATTTCCATTGGAAAATATTTACGGGCGTGTTCAAAGAGAGAGAGCGAGACAGAGAGAGAGTATAGCATTGCATTCTGCATTATTCAAAGGCTATCAAATGTCCTTTGCCTTGTTTGTCTTCGATTGAATTTTGTGCATTGCAATTGAAACATTTCTCAATAACCGAAGCACTTGCCTGCCCAATAGTTCATTTATTTCCAAGCTCAAATCAATTTATTAAAAAATAAGAGTGGAAACCTTTGCAACTAAGCTTCCAAATCAATTGAAAGCTGTTAAAAATAATTTAAAATTTCTCGCAAAATAAACTGCATTCAAAATGCGCTGTCCAAAAACAAAATGCAAAAGCTTCTTTCTTTGTGCTCTGTTGTAACGCCCACAATAAATGCCATGAAATATTTAAAACGTTTTTTCCATGGCTCAGACTCAATTTATGTTATGTTAAGTCATAAATACATTTGAACTACAGCAATATTTTGCTAGCTCTTATCGCGGCATAAAACATGTGCGAAACAACACAAAAATTTACATAAAATAATTGATAAAATTATGAAAAAAATAGAAATATATATATATATTGATTGAGAGACTCGCATCAATTTGTACGTTAGCATTAAGATAAATGTATATAAAGAAAAAACAACTTTATGCTGGTATGTAAATTAATTGATTATAGTGGCATGAAAAAATATTACAAATTCTATATAAATATATATAGATTTATATGTAGCACGGAAGAGTTGAGCGCAGAGTATTCGAAATACTAATAAATTGCATTTAAAATGTTACGGAACAACAGCCAGAAAATCTCGTAAAATTTATATTGAGTGAAGAGTTCATTGTGTAAGCAGCAGGCGAATTGCATCAATTGAATTTATTTACGCCATTTTATAATTGTGCAAGAACAGAAAACAAAAGAGCAGACAACACATACATATGCATGACGCTTTCACTTACAACAGAAATCCATAAAATTTCCCAAATTAATATAAATAACAGGCATTGCGCATTGTCTTTTATTTTGATGTTGCGCGTGCCACTTGCACATGCGAAAGAGGAAAGCTAACAAGTTAATATGCGGAAAGACGAGTTAAATGCTTAATTGCAATTAGTCGCTGTGCAAGAACTTAAAGTCCAAAGAATCGAATGTACATTAATTATATGCAATACAAATAAACATACAAATATATACAGTGCGTATACGCATCGCCCGCCAGTTGTCGTCACGGGGCGTATGAGTAACCTGTCGCTCATTAATAAAATCCAACCACAAGCAGCTGCAACTAAATGAGGCAGCGACACTGTGGTCAGCAACCCGTGCGGCCCCGCAACTCTCACTCTCACTCTCAATCTTTCGTTGTTCCATCCCATTCCCATTTTTGTTGTTGCTTGATTTTTATACTTCACGCTCATTTTAAGGCCTCTGCCAATAAACACGTATCAAATGTTTGCGGTCTCTGCGGTCAGCCGCCTTTGAGCTGCAACAAACAAGTTTTAACTTTCCCTTCCTCGTTTTTAATTCCTTTTAATTGAGCTCCTTCCTCAATTTAAATAGCTAAATATTTAATCCAGCATCCATTTAAATCGTGAGCCACATTGTAGGCCGTAAGTCAAGTCGATGGTATAGCGACTATATATATATATATGTACTTAAATAAAATATAAAACGAAATCAAAATACATTTCTAAGTCTTTAAGTGTTTTTCATAAAATTAATTAAAATGTGACCCGAGGCCAGCTTAGTCACATCTACTTAATTAAACTAATTAACTTAATAATCGCCAGACGCCCTAATCGAAGCATGGCAAATGCAAAAATCAATACGAAAAAACTGCATTAGCAAAAACGTTACAACTACTTAACTGTAAATATATATATGCCACAATAGAGCGCAAATGCATAATACGAAACGAAATATTTTAACGAAGAAAAAAATAAAAATAATACATATACATATACAGTTATGTGCGAACAACAACCAGAAAACAACGTACTTATATGTAAACGAAAATAAACTATGTGAAAACTCTCGACAGAGGAAATTTATTGCATTAAATAAATAATAATCTGAATAATTAACTAACAAACCCGAAATACATTTTTATTCCGATTCGAGTTATATAATTGGGAATAGTCTCGAATATTGAGGCTTTATAGCTACAGACAAATTGGTAAGTTCACCTTTCAGAAATAATCTAACTGCGAGATAAGCTCTGGTACTTTTTGATTGATTGAGACGTGACTCTTGAGGAAAAACAATATGCACCGACTATATGGACAGACCTAAGAATAAAATTTGGTAAAGCTTTTATCTTCAACAGTTATAGACCTAGAGTATTATTATTGATTACAATTATTTAATTATTTTAATTTTATATATTTAATTAACCATTTCAAATAAATGAAAAGGGGGAAAATGCAAAACCAACATGAAATTCTATAACAATAAAAATAAAAATTTTCCTTACAAATAAATTCGAATGATTTTAGAGAGAACTTCGGGAAACTTTCGGCAAGTCTTAGCGCACTTCCTGAGATATTTTGATATAATAGAATAGATGTAATATAAAATGCAGAATATGCTAGGAGTCACTTAAAACTGAAAAATTAATACTTTTAATATATAAAAACATATCAAACAATCAATTCAAAGAAGAAATACCCACAGAAACGATTTACTAAATTGAGCTTTCACTAACTGGCAGCAGGGATTGCGATATGGACTCGATGATAATTTGGCGCGATTGTACGCTTAGGGCACAGCCCCGAACGACCATGATCATTTGAGCATTGCTACTGCCACGTGCCACCAGCTGGCCGACAGCATAGGCTATCACACGGCCCGTATCGCGCTGCACAGCTATGGCGGGCACCAGGCTGAAGATGACCGAATCGATGCCTTCGCCGCTCTCCTCGAGCGGGCTGACTATCGCTTGGGACAGTTTTTGGGCCATGGGGTACATTAGGTTCTCGTCGAGCTTGACGCCCGGATTGCAGTTCTCGACTGCGGTCGTCAGTAGGCGTCGCGTTATATCGAGTATGTCTATGGTGCAGGCCAGCTTCCCCAGACAATTACCGGGCGATGCAGGTGGCTCCCAAATTGAGTTCGACATGGACTTGTTGATGTTGCGCTGTGTCTCCGAATCGACCTCAATCAGTGTCACAAAATCTCCCACATCATAGTTTTGTATGCTAATGCTATCCTCATTATGATCGAGCGACTCGGCTTGGGTGCCTAGGTTTTCGTAAAGCCCATGGATGTGCCACTCAAGAGTAGGGTTAAACGGCAAAGCTATGAAAGTACTCGGCATCGCTTCCAACTCAATGTCGGGTGGGTTTTGAGTCATATTAACCTGTAAACATACTTATGTATGAAAAGAACTTGCGCTGAAGCTATTTTATGTGAACTTACTATTTGTTATGCAATAGATATATACAATCGATATTCCTTTTGAGTTCAGCTCTCTTGCGTATCACAGCAATTTCCAATTAACAGAATGATGTTCTTCGTTGTCGCATAACCTAGTTACAATCCGATATTATTTTAGATATTTTGTGTGAATGCTTAATATCTATAAATAAGAACTATCGATATTAGTGAAGTTATCGCCACAGAAGAGATGCACGGATCCAGAGAAAATGTAAATTGAAGTGATGTACGATATTTGCAGACACCAAGGTAAAGCTCAAACTATTTTACCTTATCTATATGAAGTCCAGATATATATATATATATGATATGAGCGCTTACGTATGAATCGTAAAAACTTATTATGGGCAAACACTTGAGTCAGACTTTAACTGCATTTACATCTTCCAATTGATTTCCTCAGCTGAATTTTTGTAGGATAACAGCTCAAAGATAGCTTAGCTTACTACAAAGTTTTCAATTGATAATACTAAGAGGAACATATACAAACTACTCCAAATCCATCTATTCAAAGATTATAAAACTAAAATCTATGCGAAGTAGGTCGTAATTTCTTGTAAGTATTTAAACTGGAACATACTGTTTTTTTTGTATATACAGGTTACATTGAGCCTTTCCTAATAATACTTCCTGAAAACACATGCATATATGAATACAAGTGTCAGCACACAGGTAGACATGCAGTTGCTTGAATTTCGGTCTAACCGCCTGCCGGAAGCTCGTAAAAAATTCAGATATACACAAGTGCACCTAAAGCTGCCGGTGTGTGTGTGTGTGTATTTATTGTATATACTAAATATGTATTCACTGTACTGTTCGGGCCAAGGACATCAGGTAATTCTGATAAAATCAATGCTCTGCAACAAGGTCGAACATTGTCAAACGGATGCGTTCCAAATTTCTATTAGCACAGCTCTGCAGGGCTTCTAAACTTGAACTAGGGTATTCCCATTTGTCGATGAGCTTTGTAACTTGCAACAGAAGTGGGCATATCTCCCTAAAGTCTGGCATAAGCCACAGCTGTCAGGGTATTCCTAGCCTCGACCTGAATCTGTTGTCCCAATCATGATAGAATGGCCGATTAAATGATTGAATGAAGTTGAAGCAGTTTAATTAAAAAGGCAAGAAAAGTGCTGAGAACAAAAGTGCATATAAATTGCGAATACGAAATCCAACAAAGAACAAAAGTACGAAATTGCGTTTTGGAAATTGTAATTTGAAAAAGTATTTAATCTAACAGCTGCAGCAAAGCTCAAAACTGCAAACATGTAAAAATAGACAAGAAATTAAGCAAAATAATATATCTCATCTTCACTTCCATTGACAGCTGTGCTGACGCCTCGCCAAATTTCAAGAGCTGTATTTAAATCATGCTCGCATCGCCATGCACCACATCCTGAACGTTGGCACGTCGCATTCAAATGCTGGAATAAGCTGCACAGAGGCCACATAAATTTCAAAATGAGAACTAATGAGTGCACATTCAGGCTAAAAGGAAGCTGACTAGCTGACTGCTTGGGTGACTGGCTGGCTAGCTGGCTGCCTTGCTGGCTGGCATGCCAAGGGGTGACCGACTAGCGTTTCTACTTCCTTGTACTTTTAACAGGGTCAAACTAAGTAGGAAATGCAAAGTGCATTCACATTTTGATTTCATTATTGCCTTTCACTACAAATCTGACTTCCGGGTACATGATTCTATCTGGCGCTTGAATGCAATCAATGGCCCCCATTATGGGCTTAGACTCCTCGCACAAGGTGGGGCATTGAAATGCAGCTCAAGGAGTCGCTAGGGACAGACAGGATGCGGGCCAGTGGGACGTTCAGCCAATGCCTATGGAAGGTAAGTCCGGAAAAGCTACGAGTGCCAAGCTTCTTGCAACCACGACTAAAAAAGCGTAGCAGGGTGCACAACTTTCGGCAGTCAGTGTTAGCTGAACGCTTTGTGTGCGGCTTGAAAGAGATTTTCGCTTTGCGGAAATCAGGCCAACAACAAAAAATATGCTTTTCGTGAGAGGTTGCAAGGATTTGCGGCTTTACTAAATGAATAGAGGGCTCTAAACTTGAGTGCCAAACCTGAGCGACTGGGTAAGAAGACATTCAGTCAATTTAAAACTCTATAAAAAATATTAAATATATGAGACATGATATAAATATGAGACAAGTATTAACTATTTCTGTCTTAGCAGCTCACATTTATGACAGGCCCCAAAGCTTAATGACTTACATAAATCAGCACAATAAAGGCAATGAAATAAATAAAAGAAACTTTCGAAAAGTATGCTAAATACAGCCCAAGCATGATCGGTCGGTCCAAAGAAATAATGCGAAAAAGAGCGGAAACGTGCAAGAGCGCACAGGCTGGACCATGAGCAAGGACAATGAGCATGCGACGAAGGTCGCTGAACAGAATAACGAATTTCCGTCACACCAAAAATAAGAGAATTAAGTTCTGTATCAATGGCAAAGCCAATGGCATTCAAGTTTGACATATAAAAACAAAAAAAAAAAATACCAAAAGGGTTCCCGAACGGAAGGTCGAAATGGCGGCACCGGACATGAAATAATTTCAATTTTGTGCATTTCCTTGTTCGCCAGATTGTCTTGAAGATGGGCCCAAGTCAAAGGAAAATATTAAAACCGAATTTAAATTTTTAATAAACTTTTGCCACGCACAACTTTCTTGAGCCTTGTACGATGAATGCTGCAGCTATCCCTCTCTCTCTCTCTCTCACACTCTCCTCGTCCTTCTCTTAACCTCTCTCTTTCACGCCTTAAAAGCCGCAAAGTGGCGTTGCCTTTGCACTACTTGGCTCAAATGTCCGCTGGGAATGAGGCGTCATTGCTTTACACTTTTCTTCTAGCGCTTTTCATTCATTTAATTTCGGTGCTGGGGCAGGTGTGGGTGGGGTTAGACAACAGATGGCACTTGGGTATTTAACGTTCGCTAATGCCCCGCAGCCGCTGCGGTGTAAATGGGGCGTGGCAGCAGCCGAAAAGAGAAGGCGACAGTTGGCGGCAGTTTCCTAATTACAAATCAGCGGTGGCGCCCCAAAAAGAAGCACACTGCAGCAGCGAAAAAATATCCAACAACAACAACAACGACGGCGACGACGACGAAAAGCCGCACAGAGCAATTACAAATTTTTTTCATGCTCTTTTTTCACTATTTTGTTGTTGCTTTCTTGCGACTTTCTGGGTCAACAATTATGCAAAATACTCTTATTCGTGGCGCAGACCGTCGCATTTATCTGTCCTTTCGGCTGTGGACCCTAAACACAAAGAGCTGCCACGCCCTGGCGCTCGGCTCCCCTCTACCGGCCACCACTTGCTCCGATCCCCAAGGACTACTGCTGGCGCATCCGTTTTATAATTAGTTCGCTGCTGCGCAACACCCAAGAGGGTCAGAGATAGATATATATATATAGAGAGAAAGAGAGTGGGAGAGAGCGAAAGCGAGAAGGAACACATTAGAAAACAGTTTCTAAACGAGACTTTAAGATTTTATTGTTTGAAATTTGGCTGAGTGCTTCTCACGATTATAGAACTTTTGCCAACCCAGCCGAGGCATATAGCCTTGAAATCGACTAATGCGATTGTTTTTGCATTTGCCATTAGATTTTTTTCTCAGACCTTAATTGAAGTAGTACATTAACATCATTGGCTTCCCAATGAAAAACCTTTGAATTAAGCAAAATTTGCAAAGTAATTTCTTAACTTTTGTTAGAGACTTTTTAAATATCAAACGGAATTAATAAAAAAACTAAAAAATGATCTCTGGACTTCTTATAGCTACGCACAGTATAAATAGCTACTGAACTGATGCATTTCCAGAGATATGTGGCTTAAGTTACAAATACAGTTGAAGGTCCTTCTACTCAATCATCCATAACTCAAAAATTATTCTTATATACAAATAATATTAATATGCCTTACATATTAAGTCTACTTAGTTGCATTTCGAAAAATAAATGATCAGCTTTTGCTTCACACTTAAACAACAATTTGTGTTGTCTTAAAGAACTGCTATATATAAATGTATGTATCTATAAACTGCAATCAGGCAAGTAAGTTATACTATGATCTACCATTAGGTCAGCCTGGTCTTCGGCTGTTTGGCTCTCTTGACTGTAATTTAATAGTCTCGTATTTTCTTTTCCACTCACTTGGTTCAAGCAGGTTTTGCGGTTTTAGCCAGAAAGTTGTGGCTGTTGTGTGACAAGGGAAACGCTTGGTTCCAGCATCGTTTACGAGTCGGCTTTATCGGCCAGGACTCTGTGCTGTGTGCTGCCTACGGCAAGTGCAAGTGACATCATTAACTTTTTCTTGGCTCTGAGAATCGCTCGCTGGCTGACTGCCTGACTGGCAGTTGGGTCTTGCAGCTTTTCCGTTGCACCTTCCGTTTGGCTGCAAAACAGTTGAAATAAAATGTCTAAAAAGTTTGCTGAACCCACCAGCGAGCAGACAGCCAGCCTGCTTGCGGTTCTTGTTGTGGTTACAGTCTGCAGTTGATGTTGCCTCAATGCCACCTCAACTCTTGCGAGCCGCTTTTGTTTCAGCTGGGCATCGACATGCTGCAGGGCTGTGCTTATTGATTTGTATATTGAAACTACATTACAAGCTGAGAGCTGTTGGTCAAAGTTTATTTGAACTTTTCTATTTGGTCTGGCCAAGCTCTCAATTCTTTTCCTCTTTGTTTTCACTCTGCCATAGTGAAGTTTATTTAATGCTATTTGTTGCAAGTCAAGAGTCGCTCCTCGACCCCACAGAGCACTCAACTAGACATATACTTAATAATATTTCGTGAGCCCTTTGCGTGCACCAGCTAAGTCCAGTGAATCAAGATCCCGATTTGGCAATCTACTCATAAAGTAAATTAAATAAAATAAATTTCTTAGCCCTGTCTAAGGCCGAGTAGATAGAAATGCATACAATTTGACAACAACACGTTAAGAAAACTATTTGCCTCATGACAGAACGCAGGCATGCCACTCCCACTACTTGCCCCTCCATTCTCTTCTCTTCGTTTTCTTGTAATGGCCAGCTGGCCCCAAAAGCCAGTCAACGAGACATGATTTTGAACTTGTACGGCAAACGAGCTGCCGCTGTGCGAGTGGCATTTTCAGCTGACATGGAAATACCTAAATGCACACACAGACCCAGACGCCGACACCCACCACGTCTTTCGAGCGCTTGCGGCGCATTTCGAGCGCATGAGTATACAGCCACGCCCACCATAATGCTATGGGCCGGGCAAACACTAGTTGGCCTCCGTGCTCCATACACCCGTTCCTAAGCAACCTCAACCTCATTCGCATTCAGCAACTCACACAATGGGAAAGACACACATATAGATAGTTATATAGATATAAATATATATATATATATATATATATATAAATATATATATATATATATATATATATATATATATATATATATAAATATATATTCTATAAAAACTTCAGAAACCTATATGCCAATCAGCTATAGACAAAAAAAGATTAGGAATGATTCTTAACTATCTAGAGTATATCATATTCCACAGTTGGGAATCTCTTGAAGATTTGTTATCATAAGTAACTTTATGGGAGACCTTCTTGCGAATTTTAAGCTAACTTTTCTCTATTCGATTCCACTGTACTCTCAGTTGCCTTGTCACACAATTTCATTTGTTGTTATGCACTCAAGGGGTCATCGTCAGCGCTGCATGATTACGCGGCTCTTCTCTCCCAGCCTCCTTCAGTGCGTGTCCCTCGCTCTCATATAGTTTCCCAACTGATTTCGCCTCGCTGACATTGGCTCTGTCCGTGGGCCGCTGTAGTATTTGTTACTTATTTTTGTTATGCCCAGCGGTGTCTTTCGAAGAGAGCAGTGCACATCCTTTGCAGGGTAGGGCAATCTGTGTGTATGTGCGTGGGGAGACTGTGTGTGTGGGTGCGTCGCCTAATCTGACATGGCTGCATATCGAGGTTAAAACTTGACAATAGTTCAACTCGACTTGCTGCACACTCCCACGTCTTTATTGTCCTTAGCCGCCTTTAGCTCAGCGGTTACGTATACGCCGCGTTAACTGTCGCTGTTGTCAGCGTCGCAGCTGCCGGCTGCACGCTGCTGCTATGCCAACAAATATCCAAGACAGCTCTCGACCACTGCCCCACCCCACAAGTCACACACCCCACCTCGCCCATGTTTCTACAGCGCGAGATCGTGACCCAAATTATTCACACAAAATACAGCACGCGCGAGTGTGGCAAGTGTGTGCATGTGTGTGTTTCTGTCTGCTGCATGCAGTCGAAAGTGTGTCTTCAAGTTGCGGGACAGCCGTCCCCTCCTTCTTGCTCCTCTACCACACATCTCTGCAGCACTTCATCTATGTACGAATCGGCATTTGCCTGTGCGCAGATTTTCGAGGTTAATGCGTGCAAAAGTTTGAAATTAGTAAATTTCCTTTCTTGCAATCTACTCGCAGCTCCTGCTCCCACGCACACTTTACACACAACAATTTTCTCGGAGCGTGGCCCTGGCTGGTTATAAGTGCATCTAATTTATTTGTATTTTGTGTTTGTGTTACAGTGCGTATACGTGATGCTTGCTTTTTGCTACCGCCTCTCCTTGCCGAAATGCTGCAAAAACTAACATGAACTACAACAACAACAACAGCAACAGCAACATAACATTGTAGGCGACACTGGCACTCGTTTAAATTAAAGTTTTTGACCCAAATTTATGTTAGAAGTTGATATTTTCTTTAGCATTAGTTCTTCTGCTCTGAGTATCCTTTGGCTCCTTCCGCTTCGTCTTTTATGCCCGCCCAGCTGCCCCGTGCAATATTCTAAAAAGCAACATACGTGACAGTATTTTGTAATTTTGCGTGCCAGCGACAAAATGAGTTCATTCCGAGTTGCGTCTAAGGAAATGCACTTTTTGCTCCCCCCAAACAAGCCCCTCCTGCACCGCCCCTGCACGCCCCTGGCCCACCCGCCGGGAGACTTATGAAGAAGCTGAAAGTCTTTGTGTGCGACTTTAGTTGCAGTAATGGCAAAAGTAAATTCTCAAAAATGTTCTCATGTTTCTGGCATTCTGTGTGTGACCACGTGCTGCTCTTGTTTTCAATTAAATTGGATTTAGAATTTGGCGCAGGAAGTGCCCCTTCACTCCCTGGAGTATCAGAATATGCTAAACGCGTTGTTGCCCCTGCTTATTCATTTTAAATTTTGTGCGAGAGCAACCAAACACAACGAAATTGCTAATGCGAATACTTCGTGAAACGAAGAGGAGTAAGATAAGAATATCCGCTTAACTTTGCAGTTTAATAAGAAAATTAAATAAAAAAAAATACTGAAAAATTCAAAATCATTTTCAATGCCAAAAAATATTTCCAATGCTTGTTTTTTGGAATTATATGTAACTTCTATTTACTATGAATTTCGTATCAGATTCATGACTTCAACTTAATAAGTGTTTATATTAAGGTAATTAACTTGTACATAACTGTATCTATACATACATACAAAAATTTGTATATCAAAAGAATTTTGATTTAGTTATTTCTTTGACATTCAATTTATATTTATATAAAGTTAACTTGTCTCAGTGCCCCTTCAATAGACTTCAAGTCTATCAATCTAAAAGCTAAAGTCCATAATGATATCAACTTTCCAATTTAG